ATCGTTCTGCTCCCGGGAGTTCTGGAGAGAGTGCGCCGGGACGGGGTCCGTCTGCTACTAGTAGCCCCATTCTGGCTGGGCCAAGTATGGTTCTCAGACCTGATTTCCCTTCTCGACGGCTCTCAATGGGAGATTCCCGTCAGGAGGGATCTCCTCTCACAGGCGGGGGGTACCATATTTCACCCCCACCCAGAGCTGTGGAAGCTGTGGGTGTGCCCTCTGAGGGGGCACAACTCGTAGCTTCCGGTCTCTCAACCGAGGTTGTTGAGACCATCCTCCAATCCAGAGCTCCCTCCACGAGGAAACTGTACGCTTGGAAGTGGAAACTTTTCGGCAGGGTTGACCAACTCCACCATGAAGGTGTGCGTGGCACCTATAACTGCTTACCATACCCCTCTCGGTGGTCAGACTGTGGGAAGACACCCCCTGGTTACACGTTTCCTCCGTGGTGCGCTGAGGCTGAGGCCTCCCATACGACCTCGTGTTCCACCATGGGACCTGGCCATGGTCCTGGAGGCTCTCTGTAAACCTCTGTTCGAACCTATTGAGGAGGTTTCAGATCGAGTTCTGACACTTAAGACTGTCTTCTTGTTAGTCATCACTTCACTGAAGAGAGTCAGAGATTTGCAGGCCTTGTCAGTGGCCCCCTCCTTCCAAGACTTTGTGCCCGGCTTGGTTAAAGCTTTTCTGTATCCCAGGCCGGGGTATGTCCCTAAAGTGCCCTCCTCAGTACCACGGCCCGTCGTACTTCAGGCTTTCTGTCCTTCCCTCTTTAGGGAGCCTGACCAGCAGAAGCTAAATGCGAGCACTGGACATATATGACCACAGAGCTGCCATGTGGAGGAAGTCTGACCAATTATTTGTTTGTTATGGTCCCTCCAAAAGGGGTCTGCCTGCCACTAAGCAGACCCTCAGTAGGTGGATTTTTGATGTCATTACTATGTCACATGAGTCCTCTGGCCTTCCCTCACCCTTAGGGGTCAAGGCTCACTCCACCCGAAGTGTGGCGGCCTCTAAGGCCTTCCTGTCGGGTGTGGCTATGCAGGATATATATAACGCTGCGGGCTGGTCTACGCCGCTCACCTTTGACAGGTTCTACGACCTCGACATTCGTACCGCTCCTGGTTCCTCCATCCTCTTGCCGTAGTTGTGCTGAAGTCATACACACTACGCAGGGACTTGAAAGTTTGGCGGCGTGGGCATCTCGTTCCCAACGTGTTTGACGCAGCTCGAGTTCCTGATGGGGAACGTCTCAAGGTTACGTATGTAACCCTAGTTCCCAGAGGGAACGAGATGCTGCATCTCCTGCCATACTTCCGGCGTCCCTGCGAGCACTTCCCTCATTCTCCAGAAGCTGCCGCTGTCTCCACCTCACATGCTTTTATAGCTTCCTGGTCACACATCACCCCGTCCGTGACGTCGCGCCCATTCATTGGTCTGATTACACACACGATTCAGAGCATAGTCAAGCTGAAGGCGTTTCCAAACTGTTCGATGCAGCGTCTCGTTCCCTCGGGGAACTAGGGTTACATATGTAACCTTGAGACGTTTCTGCTACGCTTTTTGGCGAAGATAAGCATAAATGAGAATTGTGATAAAAATAGCATGAAGACATTACTACTCGGATGGGATTATATCAGATGACCCCAAACAGTAAACAAATACATAGTGGGTAATTAAACAGTAGGTAATTTGTTTAGTTTTTACCAAGAAAAACACGTTTGATTTGGTTAAGATTAAAATCACAAATTACATCTATGAAACTTGACTTCTTCAGGGAAAAATAGGGTTATAGGGTTATAGGTTAAAAATAGGGCTCATGGGTTAACTTCACAGGAGGCAGAAAATACCCAGATTCATAGCCTAAATTTGTCACCAGCAGCTTTTATTTATTAATCTGTTTTTGAGAGTGTTTATTTTTTTAACTTTATTGGTGTCGTATGGAACCTATAATCATCATACTGTATGTCCGGAATATATTCAAAAGATGCATTTATACAATTTCTAGTCAACATGAAAGAGCATTCAAATGTGGTTGTGTAATGTGATGTATTTTCAAGTGCAAAACTGAAAAAAGATGTAGTGCAAGACTTGATTTTATCCATCAGGAATTTATTGGCTTGTGAAAAATGGCTCCTATATCATAGATATTTAGAGAGGTGGGGCTGAAAAATAAGAGGGCTTGGTGACATCAGTTGCAAAAAGAAAAAAAAAAGTCATTTCAGAGGCTGGAATATATTATTATATTTTGAGCATCCATTATTCACACGTGCCAATGTGAAGACAAACTGAATGAATTTTTTAATTTATAAAGGAGTAAATTAAAAATAAAAGATGATTACATGGAAAAAATATACAGAATATTATCTTGTTAATACCTCCAGATGCAGAATGGGTCATTTTCTGGATACGAAAGACCAAGAGCACTTCTTACACAGTACTTTCAATATTAACAGCATTTGATTCATACTGAGTGCTGTAGATTAAAATCCACCTCCAAAGGAGGCAGAAAATGATTTTTCACCACATGCTACCGGAGCCACAATTTTCATTAATGGACTTTGTTATCAAATGAACAACCATTAGTCCTGTCCATGAAGGAACAGTGCTGTGAAATAAGAGGATTTTTACAGGGGTTGATCTGAAGCTGAGGAACAGGAAAGAAATACTTTCTTCATAAACGCAGTCAGGCTTAAATTATGTTAATTTGCTAACTGTTCCAGGTGTTTGGGTGGCAACATGCTGTTCCAGACTACAGGCTACCAAACCCCGTAGATAAGGTTTAATCTGTTAGAGATGTGAATCTTCTATCCATTTGTCAATCAGAAAAAAATGGTTGTACTCATAGGCGGAAATCCCGGGTGGGTCGGGGGGGACAGGACCATCTGAGGGTTGTCCCCCATAAAAATATAATTAAAAACCACGCTGTGTATTGTAAATAGCAATGCTTTATACTTTAAATAATTCTGTAAGTAGTAAAGCAACGCAAACGGGACAAAAATGCGTTTTAAGTTTAGAAACATTTTGAGTCTCCCCCTCCCTTGCCTCACAGTGCTTTGGTCCAAATGCCTGCTTTCCTCTTTTACATCACCTACACACACACAAGTCTGGTGACAGAGAACAAAGTCAATAGTTGTGGAACTCCAAGGCTGTCAAGGCTAATTTATTCACTTAAACATCGGATGAAGTGATTATTTTATCTTTAATACATGATGCCAATGTATTTT